GTGCTACCAAGCCCGGCTTTCAATTTATTTTTAAACTAACATATAAACACATAAAATTTGTACACATTATAGATGATCACGTAATATTTAAATGGCTTGCTTTGTGAAATAAGGTTTTGCTATGTAGCCCAGGCTGCTCTCAAATTCCAAGTGATCCTCCAGCCTCAGTCTCAATGCTAGGATGCCATTGTGTGCTACCACGCCCAGCACACAATGATTTGTTTTTTATTACAGTAAAAAATAGCCTTAAGCATTCTGGAAGAGTTATATTAGTACAGAGATTTAAAAGTCACCAACTACAAGTGTATACTTTCTATACAGAAGACTCATTATCAAATCTGAAGGGGAGGAACTATTGGAGAATGTGGACATTCTTCTCAAAGAGACTGAAAAAATATCCCACAATCTGTAAAAATGGCAAACCACAAACAGAGAAAACACTTAAGACATGCAACAGCAACAAGTACAAAAGAATAAATAAAACAAGTAAATGATACATCATTAGAATCAAGAAAAATGTTTACATTCTTCTTGATTCATAAGAAAGTGGTAATTCAACTTTAAAAAGGGCATAATTCATAAACAGGTATTTCACAGAAAATACAAGTTTCCAACTAAATATATGAAAAAATATTCACTTTTTTTGTTTGTTTTTTGAGACAGGGTCTTGTTAAGGTCTTGTCAAGGGTCTGGCCTTGAACTCACAGCGCCCCTTCTGCCTCAGCCTCCAGTGTGCAGAGATTACAGGCTGCACCACCATGCCCGCTCACTCTTTTTTAGTACCTGGGTGACTGAACCCAGGGCCTTCACCCTGAGCTACATTCCCACCCATCTTTTAATTTTTATTTTGAAATACAATCTTGCTAAGTCACAACACTGCCCAAGATTAACTCAAATTAACTCAAGATTAACTCCTGCCTTAGCCTCCCAGAGTGCTGCGATTACAGGTATGTGCCACCACACCTGGTTTAAAAACATTCAGTTTCATCAGTAATCAGGAAAATATAAATTAGGTTCAAGGTTTTCAGACCATTTCATAATGTAGCAGATAGGTACAGATCAGCCAGCTAGAGGACAAGAACTTAATATGGGCAAGAAATTTTGATTTTTGTCTGTTTTGTTAACTGCTGTTTCTACAGTGCCTGGCCTAAAGTAGACACTGGGTAAATACTGTTGAAAGGACAAGAAATCTAAATTTCTGGTACAGTGACAGTGATGGTAAGGCTATGAACCAACAGTGTTTAAGCACTGATTCTAGGAATATAAAACTTTACTACTTTGAAAAAGGACAACACTTTCTAATAGGTCGAAGAACATGCCCATCCTATAGTCCAACAATTGCACAGCTACATAAATACCATTTTTTCCACCTTTCTTAAAAATTGGAATCAAACTCAGGACCTTGTACTTGCCAGCATGTAGGTGTTGTACCACTGAGCTTTATCCCTGGCCCAAATACCATTTTCACAGTATCATCTATTATTCTAAAGATGGGAAACAATTCAAATGTTCAGTGACAGTGAGATAATCAGTAGTGCCATATTCATCCAAATGGAACACTATTTCACAACAAAACTAGTAAACCATGGCCATGGTAATCAACATGATGAATTTCAAACTCAATGTGGGAGAAGGAAAGCAAGTCACAAAAGAATCTACAACACAGGACTCCACTCACAAAATGGTCAGGATCAGTTAGAAAAAAACAAAATGCTGAAAAAAAAATGCTGGTTGAAGGGAGGGGAGGGGAATGGGAAAAAAATCAAGTTATATCATGTACAAGTACAAATTCTCTATGATGAATGTGTTGATTATGTATATCTAAAATGTACCAATAAATCTAATTTAATGAACAAATTAAATACAAAATGCTATTTATATTTTTATATATGTATACTAAAAGTATAAAGAAAAGTAAGGATATTGTAAATCCAAAATTTAGGGCAATCATTAATGCTTTTTTTTTTCTGAGACAGGGCCTTACTATGCAGTTCAGGCTGGTGTTGAGCTCACTTTGTAGCCCAGGTTAGTCTCTAACTTGCAAAGATGCTCCTGCCTCAGCCTCCTGAGTGCTAGGATTATAGGCGTATGCCACCATGCCTGGTTCATTAATGCATTTTAGAGAGGGAAAGGTCCTGGGAAATGGACAGTGTTCACGCTTCAGAAGAAACCAGTGAGGTGTTAAACAGCATAGAAGGAAAATCTTAGTATGTCTCACAATTTTTTTTTTGAGGAGGGGGTCCTGGGACTGTAACCCAGGATCTTGTAAACATAAGCACATTGTCTTTTACTGAGCTATACTGCCGGCCCATATTATTATTCCCTATATGGTATCAGGACCACTTAGATGTATGATATATTCCACAATATAAAATGTTTCAAGGAGAAATACATTAAAATATCACGGAAAGAATGCCTCATAAAGACAATATTATGACGAGGTGGCACATGCCTGTAATCTCAGCATTTGAGAGGCTGAGACAGGAAGATCTCCAAGAATTTGAGGTCAGCCTGGGCTACATAGTAAGTTTAAAGCCAGCCTGGACTACATAGCAAGATCTTGTTTCAAAAAACAAAACACACCCACACACACACAAAAGACTAGACTACAGGGGCTCGGGATTTAGCTCAGCGGCATAAGCGTCTGCCTTGCAAGTGTGTGGTCGTGAGTTCGATCCCTGGTACTGATAAAAAAAAAGAAAAAGACAAAAAAAAAAAAAAGTTAAAGACTACACTACAAAGGTTGTTGCTGGTGGTTTATGCCTGTAATCTCAGCACTCTGAAAGGCAAAAGCAGGAGGATCACAAATTCAAACCCAGTTTAGGTCTTAACAAAAACCCTGTCTCAAAATAAATAAAACTTTAAAAGAGCTGTGGGGCTGGGGATTTAGCTTAGCAGTGTAAGGTACCCAACTGGCAAGTACTAAGTCATGAGTTCGATCCTCGGCACAAAAATAAATAAATAAATAAATAAATAAAACTATAAATAAATAAATAAAAGAGCTATGAATATAACTCAGAGTGAAGGCCCTTGGTTCAATCTTCACTACCTTCTTTTTTTTTTTTTTTTTTTTTTTTTTGTCTTTTTCGTTTTTATCGGTACCAGGGATCGAACTCACGACTGCCTGCTTGCAAGGCAGGCGCTTATGCCGCTGAGCTAAATCCCCAGCCCCAATCTTCACTACCTTCTTCATGTACACATGCACACACACACACAAACAAATACATACACACACACATCTACAGAGGAGAAAAGCAACCTGCTACATAAACTCTTACATTTGTTTACTTTATAAAAGTCAAATCATTTGGGACAGCTTTTTTTCCTTGGAGGTGGGGCTTGAACTCAGACCCTCACACATGCTAAGTAGACACTCACTACCTACACCCTCAGCTGGGGCAGCTCATTTTAAAAAGATCAAAGAGACAGTGAAGAAAAAAGTGGTGCAAACCTGAATGGATTCTGCAAAAGCAAAGTCAAAGAACTGTACGTAGGACTGTACTAGGGCAAACAATGTGGTTTCCTATTGGAGTGCAGGATAACTTTAGACCAATGCACGGGCACACTGGAACTGAACTTGAGCGGAGAGGATGATTGGAGTTGGGTTCCTCACGCTGGAGTGGGACAGTACCGCCAAGTAAGAGGAGGAGGCCACAGTGATGGGGCAAAGGGTTAGAACTGGAGATACCAACACTAATTCATGCTCAGTGTAATACAGATACAGATGCCATACCGAAGCATTTACAGATGTGTGCGTGGATCTGTGAATTAGTACATGCATCTGTTTCCTTATGCTGTCAGCAGAGGATGCCTGGAAGTATGGATAGGAGTAACACTACTAGTAATCACTATTAGATGTGCTCTAGTTCGAGGTCTTGATTTCTGGGATAAATGGAACTAGAGGTTCTTGGAGAAATGTCTGATTATCAGACTGGGTCAGGAAATGCACAAGATGACAACTGACCATTGTATAGTGCCAGAAACTAAAAACAAAACCACATGATGGGGGAAGGTCAAAGGCAATAACTCCCAAATGGTGAAAGGTGAAACAATTTGGGTGATAAAATTAACTCATATTGAATTATATTCCAAAATATAAAATAAATATGAAAAAAAGAAAACCAAATATCTAAGAGTCCTTACAGATCTAAAAAAAAAAATGACTGAATAAGTAAATTTAGGAGATTAACTCGCCACTACTTAAGCAATGGCTACATCTAGAGACTACCTTCCAAAGAATACAGTATAAAGAGAGAACAAAAAGGCCAGGTGTGTTGGTACAATACTATATTCCTAGTACTTGGCAGGCTGAGGCAGGAGGATTGCCTTGAGTTTGAAACCAGCCTAGCCTACACAGCAAAATCCTGTCTCAAAAACAAAAACAGCGGGGCTGGGGATTTAGCTCAGCAGCAGAAGTACCTGCCTCGCAAGCAGGCGGTTGTGAGTTCGATCCCCGGTACCGATAAAAATGAAAAAGACAAAGAAAAATATTTAAAAAAAAACAAAAACAAAAACAAAAACAGCCACACACACACACAGAAAAAACAAAAAAATCCCCAGTATCACAAAAAACAAAAAGAGGGGAGGATGGACTATACAGTATGTTCACGAATGAACCTCAAAAGCTCTACGTATGGAGCAAAAAAGAAAACACACAAAAAAGCACACAGCTAAGTGGAAGACATCATGCTCAAAAGTTACACACCGTATGAATCATTTGTTAGAAAAATTACTCCAGCAGCCACCAGAGGTAAGGATGGCAGAACAATTGCACAAGGCAAAGGGAATTGTTTGGGGTGATAGAAATGTTCTACCTGTTAACTGTGGTGGTGGTTACATGATTACACATTTATCACACAAGCAAATGGATTTCACAGTACATTAACAATTCCTCAGCCAACCTAGATTAGAAAAAAAAAGTCACTGGTTATTTGAAGGACGGACTGGAGGGGCAAGAGGCATGAGTACAAAAAGAATTGTCCCATAAGACGTTCCGTTACCTTGTACTCCCTTGAGTCTATCTCACAATTCTGGAACTGGAGACGCTAAGTAGCCTGTTCTGGGTGCACAGCTCCTGTCTTCCTCATAATAGGCACACAATGAAGCTCTTTGGTTTTCTGTTTTTCTTTTTTGGTGCTGAGGACTGAACCAGAGCCTCATAAATGCCAAGCACACGCTCTGACAGAGCTACAACCCTGGTCCCCTGTACTATTTTTGCACATAGTGTGCGTTGCAGACTTGTAACTCCACATTCTGCCTCCTTATCTTTCCTTGAGAGTGGAAACTACTCAATCTCCACTCTTGTCAAGCCCCTCCTGTGTACCTTCCATCACCATACCTTCTAATCCATGAGTGGCTATTTAAATGGTGATTAAGTAAAATTTAATTAAGTTAAAATATAATGCCTCAGCCACACTAGTTTCATTTCCATTAGCACTGAAAATTCTATAGGATGGTGTTGCTCTAGAAAATTACCCCAAAGTTTCCTTGTAATGTTAATACTCACTGACTGAGCAGTTGCCAAGCAACTGCACACATTCTTTACTGTGGCCCAGGCCTCTAATCTCACCATTCTTGAGGCAGAGGCAGGACGATTGTTGCAAGTTCAAGGCCAGCGTGAGCTACTTAATGTGTTCAAAGCCAGCCTGACCTACATAGCAAGATCCTGTCTCAAAAATAAAAAATTAGTGGGAGAAGTATCTCAAGGTATTGTTTTATAGTAAGTTACACTTATGTAAACTATATAAAAAGTTTCATATTTCAGACTAGGGTGTTCCTCTGAAAATTTTTAAATCTTTAATTTTTAAAATTATTATTACTTTGTGTGCGGGGTGCCGAGGACTGAACTCAGGGCCTTAGGTATGCAAGGCAAAAATCCTACCACTGAGCCATATCCCCAGTGCCAAATCTTTAGTTTTTAAAATTATTTTACAGTCCTGAAGTATCTTGTACAATGTATTAACCACCGTTACTAATTACCTTGTCTTGAAATTTTGGGGTTTTTGTCTTTAAAATAAAATTTTAAAAAGTTGTGAAGTATCTTGAAAAGTTTATTGTTCTGACTTTCCTTTTCAGAAAGGCACTATAAGGAGCTTTGACTTTCTCTTTCTGTTACTGAAATAATGAGTACCCATTCCTCCCAATCATCACCAGACTCAACCACAAATCCATGTTAATTCACACTACAGATGTACTCTTTCAACTAAATAGAAAAATCAGAAAAACAGAAACTCCCACAAAGCAGTTAAGTTACCCAATTTACTTTGTTCTCTTCCTATGACAACTCTGTCTAGTTTTAATTATTTGCTCCTACTTCATAGCATCCTAGCATGTGTCCACACCCTCTCTGCAGGCCTCTTCAATTACATTTTTATAAAGAAGCAGGGGTGAGACTACCTGGGCTTCTGTGTGAATTAAAGGATTTGCAGATTAGTACCTTCCAAAGAATCAGGCTCAGATGTATGATACAGGATTTGGTTCTGTCCAAGTACTCAGAAAAGCAATTAACAAGGAAGGTAACAGCAACAGCAGCAATCTGGCTCTTTTTTCCCTAGGAGTCTGCCACCTCCCTTGGGAGAGCTGGCCTTTCAGAGACACAGCAAAAACTGTTTCTGTATCTCTTAATCCAAAAGCTGCTGGTGAGATTCTCCATGGGGGATACATATCAGAGAGCACCAAGGAGCAGACTGGTGGGTGACTCCTCCATTCATTAATCTTTATGGAGAAAGACAAGATGGGGTTTTAGAAAGAAACTACAGCATCCACTTGCGGTAATCCAGGTTTCCCTCCGTGTAAAGCAATTTAAGTACTGACAACTAGTGTGCGATGTCAGGAGCTCAATAAATCCTTGTCGAATAAATGAGTGAGTAAATGTCTGGCACATGGAAGGTATTCAGCAAATACTTATGGATAAATGAAGAGAATCACCAAGATCCTGCCTTAAGTGCTGGGGAAGAAATCATGATATTCAACATGATATTCAAATCATGATATACAACAGTTGTATGACAGTCTGAGCTACTCACTAGAGGCAAAATAGTATAATAAACTAAATAAAAACTCTGGGATTGGAGACTGTGTACAAATCCCAATTCTGTCTGCCTTGTTAAAGTAGCTTTTAGACACTACTTGGGATCAGACAAATGGGGACTGCACAACCCTCCCCCTACCGTGGAAAAAAGGTACAAAGCCTACTTGTTTACATGGCTCTTCATGAATTTAAAAAAAAAATACATACAAATCACTTAGCCCAAGGCCAGGATACAAAAGATAAAAGTATAGAAAAATGGTAAGATGCATTGGGCGTGATAACACATGCCTGTAATTCCAGCACCAAAGAGGCTGTGAAGCAGGACAATCACGAATTGAAACCAGCCTGGGACATACAGCAAGTTCGAGGTCAGCCCAGACTACAGAGTAAGACTTTGTCAAGAAAGAATGAACAGAAAAACAAAACAATGAACCAAAAAATGAAATAAAGAAGAAAAATGATAAAAATTAGTAAGTGCTAACACTTCTTGAGGCTTAACAGTGTCTGTCACTGTGCTATACACTTTGATCGTGTGACTTCATAAAATTCTTATGCCCATCTTGCGAGGGAGGTATGACCATCTCCTCTACAGGTGAAAAAACTGACTAGCAGACAGTGCCGGAAATGGAACCCCAACAATTCCTACAGTGTTCATTCCTATCCACCACACGATATTTTCCACTAGCAGAGCATCAGCAACTAAATCACTTACGCGCTGAAACCTGCACTTTGTTACCCCAAAATCCTGCGTGGCAGAGTTAAATCCACGCAGCAGACTCTGACAAGCTGTGCAACTTGACTGAAGTCGCTAAGTGCGACCACAGCCTTAGAAACTGGGCACCTACTTGCTCGCCACTCTGACTGTGAGAAGGCTCCATAAGCACTCATGCGCATACAATCTCTGCCTCAGTGTCCCCAGGCGCACCCCATTCCGCAAACGCCTCCTGAAAACCCCAAAAGCCTGTCAGTGCCCGCTCCAAACGTCTTTAAGTTTTCCCTTGCCCGCCCAAGTCTGACAGCTCCAAGTTATTCCAGCCCAGGTGAGGGGTCTCCCCGCCCCTAGGGGAGTAATGCAGCAACGTGGGGGGGAGGGGAAAATGAAGGGCGCATGCACAGACGGCTCCATTTGTTCTCCGTCCCAGCTCACCTGAGAGTCGCGGAACTCCACCACCACATTCTCGCTGCTCCATCGCGCCGCCATTTCCCTCGCCGAGCCGCCTCGGCCCAAGGACAGAACTCTCCTAAGCCCCAGGCCCGCGGATCCCGGCTCCCTGAGCTCCTCGGCGCTCACGTCAGCCTGGCCACGCCCCGTTTCCCCCTTCTGCTTGACCGCACACTATTGGCTGACCCCCACCACCGACTCCGCCCCTTCTTCCAACTCCTCCAATTGCAGCACAATAAATACGCCCCTCTGGCTTGCGTCATCAATTTGAGTCACCCACCCTTCGCACAGCGTGCGGACACGCCCCCCCTCCAGCCGTGAGCTGTGAGGGGAGTTGTAGTCCTGCTGCACCACAGATTGGGGGACCCAGGAAGAGCTCGCAGGTTAATTTTTGGCCCAAAACAGGCGATTGTTGTCCTCACCATTTTATCGCTATTGTCCTGAGCATTCACCCAGAACCCGTTCTACCAATCAAAACCCAACATTTGCTCAAACGGAAGATAACCTCTTCTGATACCTGCCCCCGAGGTTGTGAAAAGTCTAAAGGTGTCTTTTTATTTTTTCTTTGTCTTTTTGAGACACTGTCTCGCTGTCCAGTTCAGGCTGACCTTGAACTCACTTCGTTGTCCCGACTGGTCTCAAACTTGCAACGATCCTCCTATCTCAGCCTCCTGAGTGCTGGGATTAACATGCGTGAGCCACCAAGCCCAGCTCAAGGTGTCATTTGTTTTCATAGACTGCAGTGCTTCCAAAGGGACCTCCACAACCTTTTCACGGCGTCTCCAAATGCAAAACAATTTATAATTCTACCATAAGAAGTTACTTGCACCTTCTCTCACCAGTGTATCGTGTTATCTGGATTCTACAGGGACATAATACTGTAGTAGACTTAGCAGAGTAGATGATAGGAGAATCCACCTGTTTTTCTAGTAAGCCCAGAACTTGAGAGGCTGAGGCAGGAGGATTGCTGTGAGTTCAAGACCAGCCTAAACTACAAAACAAAACTCTCAAAAAAAAAAGAAAAGGTTTTTTTTTCCGGCACTTGGGAGGCTGAGGCAGAAGAATCACTGCAAGTTCAAGGCCAGCCTGAGCTATGAAGTAAGTTCAAGGCCAGTCTGAACTGCATAGTAAGACTCTGTCTCAGACAAAATATAAACAAAAAAACCTTTGCTATTCTTCTCCTTAGCACTATTTTGGTTTTGGAAAATATATTTAGTATTTTCATTAAAAAGTGAGTTATTGGACTAGGGACATAGCTCAGCACCACAGTGCCTGTCTGGCAAGGTGAGATCCTGAGTTCAATTCCCTGTACCACCCCCCAAAATTAAAAGTGAATTATTAGCTGAGTGTAGAGGTGCACACGTGTAAGCGAGATGCAGAAGCAAGAGGATTTCCACAAACTCAAGGCCAGTCTGGGTTACATACTGAGGCCAGACTGGACTATCTACAAGACCCTGTCTCATAAAAACAAAACAAAAATTATTGCCAGGCTCAATGGCTCACACCTGTAAATCGTAGCTACTGGGGAGATTGAGGCAGGAAAATGGTAAGTTCTAAGTCAGCCTGAGCAATTTAACCAAACTTTGTCCCCCAAATTTTTTTATTTACTTATCTTTTTTGTCTGTAATGCTAGAGATCAAACCCAGGCGTCATACATGCTAGGCAAGCACTGAGCTACATCTTCAATCATCAAAAAATTTTTTCCAAAGGAGGCTGAAAATATACTCAGTGGTGGCGTGCTTGCCTCGCATGTGTGAAGTCTGGGTAATGGTAAGAAAAAAAAAAAGTATTATTAAAGCCCAGTGTAGTGCCCTGTGCCTTTAGTCGCAATACTAGGGAAGCTGAGGTGAGAGGATTGCTTGAGTCTAGGAGTTTGAGACCTGGTCAACATAGCAAGATCCCATCTCAAAGAAAATATATTATTAATGTCCATGTGAATTAATGTTTTACTACAATGAATATTTTTAAAATTCTCAGTTTTAACTTTTAATAGTTACTATCAATATATTGGCCCACCTAAACTTTTTTGTGGGGGGAGGTTTTCCGTAATTTTTGAGAGTGTAAAAGTACTCTGAGATCAAAAAGTTTGTACCACTGTTTTAGCCCAGTTGTTAAATTCCCGTCTTCAGTCCCACACGGTCAAATGCTGGTGTTGCTGGTTTAGTCTCAGTTTCTCTATGGGAAGGGAAATGCCTGACCTATTTGGTTGTTGTAGGGAGTTTGCACAGAGCCTGGAATATCCCAAACGTTCAAGAGCAAGCCATTCTTGTCAGTGTTTAAATTATCACCATTTCTATGTGTAAGTCATCATGTGAATAAGGAAAAAATTCGGCCCTTTTCTGAAATATTGGATATAAAGAAGACAGAGCTGGTTGTGGTGGCGGAGAACTGTAATTCTACTCACTAGGGAATCTCAGATAGGAGGATCAAAAGTTCAACCAGGGCAACCTAGCGAGACTATCTCAAAATAAAAAATGAAAAGGACCGTAGAACATCTCAGTGATGAGTGTCCCTGGGTTGAATCTCCAGTACCATAAAAATAATAATAACAATAAAAATTTTAAAACAATATAGACTTGTCCAGAGGTTAGGGTGATTATCAACTCAGCCCTGGCCTTTCAGGACTGTCTAGGTTTTAGCACTGTATCCAGGGAAGAATCTTGCATCCCAGAACATCCTTCAGTACTAGGAAAACTGGAACAATTTGTCCCTCTACAATAGATATCTACTTGGCAGAATGAACTGTGTATTATAATAGAATGGCAGGTAATGTGTCAGGAGGGAATAGTCTAAATGGGAGACCTAAAATGATATCTTAAAGGTGACATTTGAACCTTTCAGTATACTACTAAGATTTTTATGGGGTACACTATCAAAAGAAAGTACTTTGGCATTAAGAGTATGAACAAAGACCTTAAAGTGTGAAGAGCAAGATATGTTGTAAAGACAGAAAGCCGTTCACCAATTCTCCCTTCTCTCTCTGTCTCTGTCTCTCTGACTGTCTCAGCACTGTGCTTCTCTCCTTCAGAATACACATCACAATAATTCAGTATCTTTTGTTTATTTAATATTTTCAAACTTTTAGAGAACTAGATCTATTTTGTTGGGTCTTGCTTGGTAATGTGTATACAGGTTGATCGATAATCTCTGTCCAATGAATGAATACAAACAGCACATAAAGTCGAAACTCCAGAATGCTGTGTAGGTCAGAAGGACTCCTATGTGACAGTCATTTCAAAAACTATTCACAGTCTTTTCTTGTAATTTTTTTCAGGAATCAAACTCAGGACCTCACACTTGCCAGACAGGCACTGTGTTGCTAAGCTAAATTCCTAGCCCTTTGTTTGTAATTCTTTATATCTAAAAGAAAATACAGAATCACAAACCATTGTCCTAGGAAAATCCCCTTGCTTTCTTTCTCATCCACCCATCATATTTTCTCATACACTAGAGTCCTTAAAAAAAACTCCTCCCCAGGTGTGGTGGTGCATGCCTGTAATCCAAGCTACTCAGGAAGCTGAGGCAGGAGGATTGAAAGTTCAAGATCAGCCTAGGCAACTTAAGGAGACCCTGTCTCAAAATAAAAAAGTATAAAGGGCTGAGGATTTTAACTCAGTGCTCCCTGGACTCATTCTCCAGTACCAAGAAAACAGTGAAGAAAAAACAAACAGTGAAAACAAGACTACTCCTTGAGCCAGGCATGATAGTGCTCCTGTAGACCCAGTGCTCAGGAGCCTGAGGTAGGAAGATCATTTGAACCCAGCAATTTGAGACCAGTTCCCACAACACGGTGAGATCCTGAAACAAGACCGTGTCTCAACAACAACAAAAATCCCCTTTTTCTGTGACCTCCACCCTCCTCTAATGGCCTTTCTTCCCGCATCCCACTGTTCTCCCAGTTCTCCTTCACAAAGTCCCAAAGACAGCTGGTGAAGGTCACTTGTATCTCAGCACTCTGGGAGACTAAGGAAGGAGGATCCTTTGCAAGTTTGAGCCCAGCCTGGGTAACTTAGCAAGATTCTGGCTCAAAATGAAAAATATAAAAAGTATGGGGTTGGAACTCGGTGTGAGTCCCTGGGTTCAAGCTGCAATACCCTCAAAGCAAAAAAACAATCACAAAATACTAAAAATTGCTCTGGAGAGAAGGACTGCAGCTTGGAGGGCCAAAGGAGAAAGACTGCAAGCCAGGCCCTGGGGGAGGAAGAAGTAAAAAATGTTTTCTGTGTGTACTCATGCCAGCACATTGGATTACATGAAGAAATTAATTCATCTAACATACCATATACTTATTTGCCTATTGGCTGGAACTAGTAGGTGCTTAATGACTCTGCCAAATGAGTAATTAGCAAATATTTAGGCCTGGTATTACTTAGGGTTCATGGTAGGATGTAGTAAGAAGTACCCCTGGAAATGTCAGAAAGGGCTCTTTCACAGAGGGGCCCTGCATAGACATTGGGGTTGTGTCTTGGATAAGGCAGATACGGCTATAGATAGTCCAAAACCTTATCTGTCCACATGTAACTTGGTTGTCTGCTTCCTGGCAACACCAGCAGGATCACCTTTGTCTGAGCATTTCTGCAATTCTCCTCCATACTTATCTTTTGTACTTATCTAGTTTTCAAAATCTGCTTGCAATAGACTGCAGGTACAGAAAGCACTTCAGGTTTCCAGTCCATGGTGTTCGCTGTTCTCTCAATGTTTTCTTTTTTAAACATGAAAGGCATTTTGGGGAGAGGGAGCATTAGCACTTTCCCAGTTGCCTTCTCGGGCCCTTCCTTTCCATCTCCCACCTACACTGTGTACCACCCACACATGACACTGTCATCAAAAGTAGGCACTCAAATGCAAAATGGAGAGCTGGCTGGCTGCTTCTTCATTCTGGGTGCCTCTCAGATTCACAAGTAGTATGTTCTGCATCAGGCTGGGGACTACTGGTGGGGAGTTCTTTGTCAAATAGACTCCAACTGGCCAAACAGGACACAGGGCCCTGTCTTGCCCTTTTTTTTTTTTTCTCTCTTTTTTTTTTTTTTTTTTTTTGTCTTTTTCGGTTTTTTTTACTGGTACCGGAGATCGAACTCACGACTGCCTGTTTGCCATGCAGGCGCTTATGCCGCTGAGCTAAACC